GTGAATTTATAAACCAACTGAGATCATGACTAAAAGTATGTTTTCCAGATAAATCTGGTGAGTGGCTAAACCAATTCCTCAGAGACAAAGAGCAAGCTCATGCTTCAACCAGGTGTAAACAAGGCTGACGGACCATTACTTGATAAGTGGCCATTCTTTGGCAGGAAATGGTGGGGGGCAAAAATACATTTTAGCAAAGAAACAGCATGGAGTTTCCTTCCACAGACTGCCTGTTGCCTTGCTCTCAGCAAGAAATGCTTCTCAAAAGGGGGCAGGACTAAAAAAAGAAGGGGCAGAACCCCAAGACACTTTCTCTCTCTCTCCCTGCCTATTGCATTCACTGTACCTGAAGAGACAAAGGAAGCAGCCACTGGACTCTGGGGGAGGGGTCCTGACCTAAAGATTTGGGTCAGTAAGATTGCTGAAAGCATGGGGTGAGAAAACTTAAACTACATTAGATTCATAGCAAAGTTAAACACCAGTAAGTGTTTTGTCTTTATTTTTCTTGTGACTACTTCTGACTTTTTGTCTAATTACTTGTACTCGCTTAAAATCTCTCTCTTTGTAGTTAATGAACTTGTTCTATTTATTTCAGCTTGAACACACTGGATTAGACAAGTGTCTGGGTAACAAGTTGTGTGCATATTATTCCCTTAAAGGAATAACGGACTCAGTGTATCTGCACTGTCCAGGAGAGGGTTGGGCAGTACAGGACACACATTTCTGCAGGAGAATCTAGGACTGGGAGCGTGTTGGGGTCACCCGGTGGTAATATTTAAGGCTGGTAAGAGCCAAGGTGTGGCTGGCTGGCTGTAGCACACACAGACATAGCTGGGAGCGACTTACACATTGGAGGCAGTTTGTGAGCAGTCCAGGCTGGAGGATACAGCAGCAAAGCATTGTAAAGGGCACCCCAGGTTAGAGGGCAAGGGTGACACAGCTTCTCATTGGTCTGGATTGTACCCTGGTATATCACACTCGTGCTGGCTCTCATCAAGCTAGCACACTAAAAACAGCAGTGTAGCCACAGTAGCAGGGTAGTGGCCAGTGGCCGCAGCACAGGCTACCCCCGGGGTACATTCTCAGGGTGGCTAGCACGTGCCACAGCTGGTCGCTGCCTGCGCTACCACGGCTACACTATTTTTAGCATGCTAGCTCGATGAGAACTAGCATGAGTAGGTAGGCGAACTGGGAATCACACCCCTAGCTCCAAGTGTAGACGTACCCTAGACCAGTGGTTCTCAACCAGGGATCCGGGGCCCATGGGGGGGACCCTCCTAGCAGGTTTCAGGGGGTCTGTCAAACAGGGCCAGCACTAGACTTGCTGCGGCCTAGGGAAGAAAGTCGAAGCCCCACTGCTTGGGTGCTCTCCCAGGGCTATAAAAAACCCACCTCCACAAAGGTAGTAGCTCCCAACGCTGGTGCACGTCTACACTGCCACTTTACAGCGCTTAAATTTGCAGCGCTCAGAGGGATGTTTTTTCACACCCCTGAGCAAGAAAGTTGCAGCGCTATAAGTGGAAGTGTAGACAAGGCCTTCATCGAAACACTACAGCACTGCAGCTGCAGCACTGTAAGTGAAGACTTGCCCAAAGACCTGAATTTTAAAGTGATTTTTTAAAAAGTTGCAGGCATTTTTAAATGTAAAAATAACCTTGTCAGACTTGGAGAGGAAACAGAAGTTGTAGGCAGCTAACCAATATGTCCTGCAACACAATGGTCCTAGAGGTAAGTAACAGCCTTTTTTGAGGACTACAAGTTTCTTTTCTTCAGATATATACACATTTACCAGTTCTAGCAAACAAATATTCTATTATATGCCAATATATATTAACTAATACCAGATTCTTACACTTCATTTCCTCTCAAGTCAAAAAAAATAATGAATGAAACAGTGACTAAAAGGAGACAAACTGCCATATCACTAAAATGGCAGAAAACACAGTAGGGATCAACTTTAAAGAAAGTCAGGCAACAACAATTGATCTTGTTCCATCTCCAGCAAAGCACTGAGAAACCAATAGTGCCAATGCTTATGACTGTATCAAGAGTTTTGTGATATTGGGTGTTTGAATTAAAGTCTAGCTGATAGAGAGAAGAGATTACATGAGAATCTCAGCTTTCATTTAAAAAAAATAAAATAAAATACGAAGTTTCTAGCCCTTGTAGTAACAGAGAAAAGCTTGAAAACATGACCTGAGTGCAACCTAAGGGCTCACACCCAAAGGCAAATTAAAAAGGATGCAAAATGGATTACCGTATATACTCGATCATAAGCCGGTTCATTTATAAGCCAACCCCCCCAAGATGGATAAGTAAAAATGGAAAATTTTTATAACCTGTTCATAAACCGACCCTATAATTCAAGGGTCAGCAAACTTTGGCTCCCGGGCCATCAGGATAAGCCGCTGGTGGGCCGAGATGTTTTGTTTACCTCGAGCGTCCGCAGGCACAGAGGTAAACCTAAGTAAACAAAGTGTCCCGGCACGCCAGCTGCTTACCCTGACGGGCTGGGACAGCAACTGGTGGGGAAATTTTGGGGGCCAGAGGGGAGAAGCTGGGAGTCAGGGGAGTAACCCCTGTGACCACCCCCCACATGACCCCACCCCTAGCCCAGAACCCCCACACTCTCCCCATCCCATCCCTTCCCACCTTATCTGGAGAGGATGTCTCTGACCTGGCTGGAGCTGCTCTGGCAGGCTGGGCAGTGCGGCCACAGCCTGCTCCGGCAGGCCAGACCAGGCAGCGCGGCCACAGCATGTTCCAGTGGGCTGGGCGGCACAGCCGCAGCGTGCTTCAGCGCCCGGGCGGTGCAGCCACAGCCTGCTCTGGGGGCCGAACGGCACGGTTGCAGCCTGCCAGCTCTGGAGCTGCAGCTGCTTCGGAGGCTGGGAGGAGAGCAGCGTGGCCAGAAGCGGAGAGACTCTGGCCCCACCTCTTCCCTTCTCTCTCTGCTGGCTGTGCTGCTTCTTCTTGCTCCCTCTGTTGCGGGGAGGGGCTGTGTCCCACCTCTCCCTCTCTATACCCATTCATAAGCCGATCCCCTTCTCTGGTGCTTCCCATTTTTACTACAAAAATTCGGCTTACGAACTAGTATATATGGTATATTCTTTTAAAAATCACTCGATTTTTGAGGGGCGTGACATTATTTTTGAGCAATTGGGGTTAGCAATACTAATGATAACACAAGGACATCTGAAAGGAGCACTTTAACCACAGGAAAGAAAGATACAGTTAAGATGTCAGACAACACAGAGTACACTACAGAATTTGATACTCAAATATATGTCTAATTTCACATTCAGCACCTCCTCCCAAAAATTGTTAATAGAATGACTTTGGTGGCCATTACAATAGATAGCTATTATATAGTATAATTAGTATTGTTCTCCCTCTGCTGAGGTAAGCTTCCCAGTGACATGGAGTCTGGTTACATCCTATGAACAATTTATTTTATTTATGCATGTACACCAGTCCTGGAACAGAGGTGGTCACAAATAGCATGCAGGCTAAGTCCTTCTTTCAGGAATCTCAGCCATACACCAATGCTTGGTTCCCAGGAAGTAACACTGGCCTCGGTTGACCAAGGAAGAGAGCAAGGTCTGCTGCTTACACAGATACCTCTACTCAGAGCCTTGCATAACAAAACTAACAGCAATATTTAGCATGCCTTCCTAACATTGAACATTTGCCGCCAAACTAAGAAAAAGTACTTGGAAGGCTATGTGTAAAAGCACCACCTGGTGACATCTGCCTAAACAATATGGAGAAATTCTGGCACTTAGTGTAGGGAAGTTCTACTTTCCTTTTTCACCAGTTTCACAGCAGTGAAATTTATACTTAAGAGAGAGGGAAATCAGGCCCAAAATTGTAATGACTATTGAAATAGATAATTTTGATGAATTTCACTGTATTCTATGGAGTCAGGTGAATTGCACACACCACAAGAAAGCCCGAACAGCACCTCTCTCAAACCAATAAGATCCAAAAAATCCAAGAAAAACAAAAGGTAGAAGCTTAAATTAATGTGGGACTGATCATTTTAGTTCTATACCACTTCAATTATCTAAATATAATGGGGAACACTGAATATTTCTGGATAACTGAGACTGTGGATAATCAAGAGAATTCTCAATTTAATTAACAGATGTCAGGGGATGTGACCTGTTTTGAATAAGAGGGATTTGCACTTAATTGAGGTTTCAGCTGTATCACATCTTTAGCAGGCACAGTTTCATTATTCTGCAAAGCAAATTAAATCATTTATTCTGATAAAAGTGAAAAAACAGCAAGAGTTTGGTGGGGAGGGAGGTATATTTAGATGGAAAATGAGATGAAAATGGAGAAATAGGTCAGGACAGGGGCACTGCCTGGGTTTTAAAAACTGTTTTAAAACACAAATAAAAATGCAACACCAAACCAAAATAAAAACATCCTACTAACCCCTTCCTATGCACACGATTAACCCACTCTTTGCTTATGCATGTACAGGGGCGGGGATTTGCCTAGCTGGGCTAACCATTTTATGCCACTCCCCAAAGAAACGAAGATTCCTAGGGGACGGTGCCTTTTTGTTGTTGTTTCTGATCACGGTTTCAGTCCTTGCGTGACAACAACAGATTCTGTGAAATGCACCAGAACATGCTTCAGTTTAACACTGTGGTTTTTTCATTTCAGCAACACACTGCCCGCTGCAAAGCAGACGGTGGAGAGAGCTCTGGCAAAGAGAGAGTTTGGGATTAAGTTTGAACTCGAAAACCCTGCAGGCAGCGAGAGGAGAAGGCGCTGCAGTGAACTCCGGTACTACGTGGCAGGCTTTCTCTGGAGAACCCAGCATTTTGGAAACTAAGCGAGGGGGGGCGGAGTAGCTTGCAAGCTACACAGCTGCCCTAGCTGCTTCTTCAATACACCCACCAGACAGCGCACAGCCCCCTATGCGCCCTGGTCTCCCCGTCATGCCGACCCCATGGATGCCGAAGAGCAGCAGCGAAATCACCCACCTTTTTCACTCTCCGGGCCGTATAGAGCCCCATCCCGTCCTGAACTTTAGACGACTTCAGGGCAAACCTGTCCGGCACGTACATGCCCAGCATTTTGCACTGACTCGGGCCGCCTGCTAAAGGGGAGAAGAGTTAACAGGGTCTTTCATTGCAAAGGGCAGGAGATGGGGGAGGGGGCAGGGACAGAGGGGCCGGTTGCAGGATTACCCCGGCTGGCTCCTGGAGGAGAGGGGCGGAGTCAGAGGCGGCTGCAAGAGCTGGATGGGAAAGCCTGGCCTCCAATTGGCTGAAAGTTGGTCGGGGGAGATCTCTGCAGAGAGAATGGGCCGCTCCTTAGGGCAGCACCGCGGCGGGCGGGGGGCTGCAGGGCCGGGGGGGGGGGGGGCATTTTTTCAGCCGCCCCAAATTGCACACTCCGGGGCTCAGTCCCAGACTGGCCGAAAACAGGAGATCTGGCTCCGGATCTTCCGGAAGTTCAGTGATGTTCTGATCCAGCGCCGCTTATTTCAGCCCGTTAGAGACAGAGAGGCAGGCAGGCCCACACGTTTGGACCCGACCCTTTGGCGGTCTTCAGGGAAACGGGAGAGGGAGCTTAGGCTGCTCCTGGCCCGATTTTAGCTCAATAAGTTAAGATCCATAACTTTGAGATCCTGCATAATATTGGACAGTCCTTTGCCAAATGCCATGCATGGATGTGACTGAAACCCTGCAACAATGAACACACTGCCACTATACTTCATTGTATTATGCAAGTTATGAATAGGAGTACTTGTGGCACCTTAGAGACTAACAAATTTATTAGAGCATAAGCTTTCGTGGGCTACAACCCACTTCTTCAGATGCATATAGCGTGAAACATATATTGAGGAGATATATATACACACATACAGAGAGCATGAACAGGTGGGAGTTGTCTTACCAACTCTGAGAGGCCAATTAAGGAAGAGAAAAAAAACTTTTGAAGTGATAATCAAGATAGCTCAGTACAGACAGTTTGATAAGAAGCAAATGTGAAAATACTTACAAGGGGAGATAGATTCAATGTTTGTAATGGCTCAGCCATTCCCAGTCTTTATTTAATCTTGAGTTGATTGTGTCTAGTTTGCATATCAATTCCAGCTCAGCAGTCTCTAGTTGGAGTCTGTTTTTGAAGTTTTTCTGTTTTAAGATAGCCACCCGCAGGTCTGTCATAGAATGGCCAGACAGGTTAAAGTGTTCTCCCACTGGTTTTTGAGTATTATGATTCCTGATGTCAGATTTGTGTCCATTAATTCTTTTGCGTAGAGACTGTCCGGTTTGGCCAATGTACATGGCAGAGGGGCATTGCTGGCACATGATGGCATATATCACATTGGTAGATGTGCAGGTGAACGAGCCCCTGATGGTATGGCTGATGTGATTAGGCCCTATGATGATGTCACTTGAATAGATATGTGGACAGAGTTGGCATCGGGCTTTGTTACAAGGATAGGTTCCCGGGTCAGTGTTTTTGTTCAGTGATGTGTAGTTGCTGGTGAGTATTTGCTTTAGGTTGGGGGGTTGTCTGTAAGCGAGGACAGGTCTGTCTCCCAAGATCTGTGAGAGTAAATGTGAGAGAGATCCTTTACAGTCCAAGTAATGAGAGACATCTGACTTCACTGGGACTCTGCACAGGTGCAAGAATCCATCCAAGCAGATCTTGAAGTATTGGAGCCACAATTTGCCCCCCTTGTATTCATGACAAATGTGTTGCAGAATCAGAAATAGAAAATATCAGGGGGTAGCTGTGTTAGTCTGTATCCTCAAAAACAACAAGGAGTCCGGTAGCACCTTAAAGACTAACAGATTTATTTGGGCATAAGCTTTCATGGGTAAAAAACCACTTACACTTCTATTTCTCCTAGGTCCCCAGTCCAATGCCTTAAATTCAAAGGAACTTCCTTACTCTTCTAGCACCCCTCTTCCTCACTCACCCTCCATCCTGTGCACTGAATGACACAGGGGTCTCAAAACAAATAACATGTGATCATGTAATTAAAGACTATCATAATGCATATGCTCAAAGGGATCATATTAAACAACCTTAATTTTGGCATTTCCTTACTTCTGAGAGCTTTAAAACCCTTAATATTTGTAACTTGGGGGGGTTGGTTTGTATATATCATCTTAGGTTTCTGTTTTTTGTAAATCAGAAATTACATCATGTGGAACTATAGTGACTCCCTGTGCATGGATCATCAGCACATTTGGAATCCAGGACCCTTAAGTACACAGCACAGACTTCTACAACTTGAGCTAAAGATATTACTGGTGCCAGTAGTAGGTGCTATGTGGATCAGCCACTGGAAGGAAAGCAAGACACTTGCCATTGACTTACTCCTCTATTAGCTAACCAATAATTGTGTATTAGGAACCAGAAGCCTTGAGTGCTAGTCCTGGCTTTGGAAGAGAGAGAGAGAGAGAGACAGGTCTAATGGTCACAGTCAACATAGTCAAACATATACATCTGGCATTTTCATTCTGAAAGGCAGGCTGGCCGAGTGGCTGAGACTTGGGATCTGCTTAGTGTCTTTGAGCTCCTCGTATACTATACAAGGGACATAGAGAGACAGAGGAGCCCTGGAAGGAGAACCTGAGCACCAGGGCCATTTAAGGTGGCACTATACAGCTCTCTCCTCACAGCCTGCTATGCTGGGGACAAGAAGTGGCAGTCAGCACAGTCATTCGGAAAGAGAAGAGGGGCAATGGCTAGAGCACTCTAAGGCCTGGTCTACACTACGAGTTTAGGTCGACTTTAGCAGGGTTAAATCGAATTAAGCCTGGACACGTCCACACGACGAAGCCCTTTCTTTCGACTTAAAGGGCCCTTTAAACCGGTTTATTTACTCCACCTCCGGTGAGGGGATTAGCGATAAAATCGGCCTTAGCGGGTCGGAATTGGGGTAGTGTGGACAGAATTCGACGTTATTGGCCTCCGGGAGCTATCCCACAGTGCTTCATTGTGACCGCTCTGGACAGCACTCTCAACTCATATGCACTGACCAGGTAGACAGGAAAAGCCCCGCGAACGTTTGAATTTCAGTTCCTGTTTGCTCAGCGTGGAGAGCACAGGTGACCACGCAGAGCTCATCAGCACAGGTAACCGTGATGGAGTCCCAGGATCGCAAAAGAGCTCCAGCATGGAGGGACGCACAGCAGTGCCGCGTGAAAATTAAGGAGCTAAGGCAAGCCTACCACAAAGCCAGAGAAGCAAACGGAAGGTCTGGGGCAGAGCCACAAACATGCCGCTTCTATGCGGAGCTGCATGCCATTCTAGGGGGTGCAGCCACCACTACCCCAACCGTGTGCTATGACTCCGTCACTGGAGAAACACACAGGGAAGCGGGTTCGGGGTACGAGGAAGATGAGGATGAAGATAATGTAGATAGCTCACAGCAGCAAGGAAGCGGAGAAACCGGTTTCCCCAACAGCCAGGATATGTTTATCACCCTGGACCTGGAACCAGTAACCCCCGAACTCACCCAAGGCGTGCTCCCAGACCCTGAGGGCACACAGGGGACCTCTGGTGAGTGTACCTTTGTAAATATTACACATGGTTTAAAAGCAAGCGTGTTTAATGATTAATGATTAATTTGCCCTGGCAATCGCGGCCAGTACAGCTACTGGAAAAGTCTGTTAACATGTATGGGGATGGAGCGGAAATCCTCCAGGGACATCTCCAGAAAGCTCTCCTTCATGTACTCCCAAAGCCTTTGCAAAAGGTTTCTGGGGAGGGCTGCCTTATCCCGTCTGCCATGGTAGGACACTTTACCACGCCAGGCCAGTAGCACGTAGTCTGGAATCATTGCATAACAAAGCATGGCAGCGTATGGTCCCGGTGTTTGCTGGCATGCAGACAACATCCGTTCCTTATCGCTCTTTGTTATCCTCAGGAGAGTGATATCATTCACGGTCACCTGGTTGAAATGGGGCGATTTTATTAAGGGGACATTTTATTCAGAGGTGCCCCTTCCTGCTCTGCTGAACAGAAATATTCCCTGTTGTTAGCCACGCGGTGGGGGGGAGGGGTGAAGTGATCATCCCCGAGAATTGGGTGTGGGGGGGAGGGGGGTTAGTTGGGTTTGTGCTGCATGTTAACCCGGAAACCGCAGCCCCTCCTTTTACATTGCAAACCCATTTTAAATGGCCAACCCAATGGGTGCTTGATATGGGAAATGAGGGCGCTACTATTTGAAACCATTCCCATTCCCACATGTTAAGAAGGTTAAAAAAGCCAAAAGACTGTGGCTTACCATGGCTGCCTGCAAGCTGAAATCTGTTGCCTGGCACTGCGTGAGTGATCTCTCACACCAAACCGGCAGGCCCTCAATATAAGAGGAAAAATGCGACCTTGTAACGAAAGCACATGTGCTTTGTAATGTGAACAGTAAAATTTAACGTGAAAGAGTGTACCCATTGTTCTCTAAAATGTGTCTTTTTTAACCACCTCTCCCTTCTCCTCCACCAGCTGCAAATGTTTCTCCTTCACAGAGGCTAGTGAAGATTAGAAGGAGAAAACAGAGGACGCGGGATGATATGTTCACGGAGCTCCAGATGTCCTCCCACGCTGACAGAGCACAGCAGAATGCGTGGAGGCAGTCAATGTCAGACTACAGAAAAGCACAGTATGAACGAGAGGAGAGGTGGCGGGCTGAATCGCGGGATGAACAGAGCAAGTGGCGGGCTGAAGATGATAGGTGGCGTCAGCTTGCAGACAGAAGGCAAGAGTCGATGCTCCGGCTGCTGGAGCATCAAACTGATATGCTCCAGCGTATGGCTGAGCTGCAGGAAAGGCAGCAGGAGCAGAGACCGCCGCTACAGCCCCTGTGTAACCAACACCCGCCCTCCTCCCCAAGTTCCATAGCCTCCTCACCCAGACGCCCAAGAACACGGTGGGGGGGCCTCCGGCCACCCAGCCACTCCACCCCAGATGATTGCCCGAGCATCAGAAGGCTGGCCTTCAATAAGAGTTAAAGTTTAAAACTGCAGTGTGTCCTTTTCCTTCCCTCCTCCCCCACCCATCCCGGGCTACCTTGGCAATTATCCCCCTAGTTGTATGATGAATTAATAAAGAATGCATGAATGTGAAGTAACAATGACTTTATTGCCTCTGCAAGCGGTGCTCGAAGGGGGGGAGGGGAGGGTGGGGTGGTTGGTTTACAGGGAAGTAGAGTGAACCG